AGTCCGTAATGAAGAGGAGTGTACGTACTTGATTGCCTTGCTGCTTGTTTCCTGGTAATGACATCATGCTACAATTCGGAATCATTTCAAACCAACTTGTTTACGGTAAAAAAGAAGTTTACGGTATAGGGTCGCGGTTATGTACGACGACAGTCATATGGTCATCGATCGATGACCTTCTTTCGGACCCGGAACAATTTCCAGTCTTCTTTAGTATAGCATGCGTACCGCTTTGGTTCTTCTACTATTGTCTGCGCCCTCTCACCGAAGCAATGAGTAGATATTCCAACAAGCAGCATGGTAGTTGGCTTGCATGCCCGCTACCCTTAGATGTAGATGTGCCTCTCCACTGTTTCCAAATTTATCGTTTCACTCCGCAGATGTTCAGTCAAACAGTTTCCTACCTCCGACTCCTGCTTTCAGGCGTGCTGCTGCGCCCTACGGCCCGCAGCGAACCACCGGCGATAACGTTCGTAGCACTACTGCGCTCCATCCATATGTAATGAATTAAATGTATGGACAAACTTCTGCACGCTTCAAGTGTCTCTCACGGAGTCGCTGGAGCTCAAAGTGCCCTATGAGCGAAAAGGCGTGGTTGGAGTTAGACATGAACATCCGATAGACACGAGCTTTATAACCGGGCGTAGCCACGCCACTACACTCACCTACTTTACTCCGAATAGTTTCTCTACTTGTAATCCGACATAATTTTGGATTATCCCGGCGTCACTGTAATATGAGTCTGTGATTTAAAATTCTTAAAAACATTTATTTCAGGCTCCACCACTGTCCGACTTCGTTGATGAATTGGTAAGTTGCTGCGTTTTCGTCTTCGTTGTTTTGCATTGTTCCCGAAGACGGGGCAGCTTCCTTTTGCTGTCGCTATTTCTTTTAAAAAATAAAATGATTGTTGCAGATCCCCGCGCAAGGTCGAGAACCAGTACCTGTTCCAGCAGCTGAGGTACCGCCAGCTCCACAAGCCCCAGCCCCTCCACAGGCCCCATTTGCTCCTCCACAGGCCCCATTTGCTCCTCCACAGGCCCCATTTGCTCCTCCACAGGCCCCATTTGCTCCTCCACAGGCCCCATTTGCTCCTCCTCAGGCCCCATTCGCTCCTCCAGCGGCTCCATTAGCTCCCCCAGCAGCCCAGTTTGTTGCTCCACCTGCCCCTTTCCCTCCACCGGTAGCAGAGTTCGCTGCACCACCACCAGTAGTTCCACAACCAGCTGTGTTTGCCGCTGTACCAATTGCAGCCGGAGGAGGAGGAGGAGGTTCGTGCAGACAAGTTAGTATTGCTCATTCCACGGTTAATTGATTATTGAAATAGGTGCTTGTTTCTCGACGGATACATGGGTGACAACGCCTGATGGTAAGAAGCGGATGGATCAACTCAAAGTTGGCGACTTCATTCTCACAGCTAATCAGACAGGGGTTTGTGCTTTCAGATTTCAGAGTTCAGCTGAAATTTCAGTGTTATTTCTTGTTAAAATTTCGACACTATTCGGCTAAGAGGGGCCAGGGGGATTAGCCGTTCCCATTCGACTCAGGGACCTATAAACTCGGGTGGAGTTCTGAAATGGTACTCAGAGAAGTTTACCGTTTTGCAGCTCCACAATAGTTCACAGGTCTCACCACGGTGAAGAAAAGTGTAACCCATAGAAACTAGCGACTCAGTAATGCCATCTTCCCCCCCCCCAATGAGATAGCGCCAAAACTTTTAATTTACGAAAAGCTATATGAGAGCCTAACGGCCCTCCACCTTTTGATGAGCCCTATGGTGCCAGACATACGCCTCGGACTTCTTTCTTATTGAAATTTTTTTAAAGGGGTGAAATTTGCAACCAACGGTGAAAGCGCCCACTATAGCGAAAGGGGTTCGCTGCAGCGCTGCAGACTTCTTTGAATTGGGGGTGGTACCATCGAAATGCGCGCCAAAAACCCGTTTCATTGGGACCATTTCTGGATGCGCTAGATAAAGCACTTTTCTATGAGCAGTCCAGACAAATGATCTCAACCAGCCGTTTTTTTTATCGGATTAGCCACGCATTGCTCCAGATATCAGTGATATATCACACCACGCCGCTTGCATAACTCCCACGGGAGCTGCCAAAGTAATTAGCTGGGTAGTGGCTCGTGAGCATGGATCTTCTATGAATTCTGAAGGTGTCATAGAAGATAAGTTGTCGAAGTTTCGAATCAAAGGCAAACGGGCGAGAAGGGGTGGGGTGGGGCACGTCATTTCTGTCTGTCTGCGCCATGCACCAAGATGTCGCAGAGTTCTGCAAATAGTTAGTATGGTACCTGCATACTGTTCGGGCTGAAATCTGTGAGCAGACTTCTGCAGTGATTCTTTGAAAAGTGTGAAAGGACAGCGACATGCGTAAATAAGACGGGTGGCATAGTCGAGCCATGGAAACCCCCCCCCCCTCATTCAACAACCTTGTCCCAGAGTTCCTCATTAGCGATCCGTGCTGTCGAAAATCTGACTGCCCCGTCCAGAGGCCTCACTCGTGGGATGGACAAATTTCCAAAGGTATGGCAAGGGCTCTAGCTCACAGCAATTTAGTTTGAGACGCATTTGTCGGTTTCAACAGTCTTCTTCTCACATAGGAAAAGGAAGCAGAAAAGTGTTGTTTTCAGTACGAATACGAGAGCCTTGTAATGTTGCGAATGCTACCCTGCCTTGTTCATTTTTACATCTTCAGGCGTATTTCACCCCGATGTCGTTGTGGATTCATCGTGAGCCGGATGTGATAACCAAATTCGTCACAATTATGACCGACTACGGCAAAATGCTAGCACTTACACCTCGACATTTGATATTCCGGAACAAATGCGGAGGTGAATCTTCTACTGACTTCTCAGATTGTCAGACTATTATTTCTCAACAGCAGTACCACTGAAAAACTGTTGCGCAGAAGGACATACTCGTGTTGTAGGAGGAATTCGCGGAATTTCTGGATATTCCCTAGGAACAGCAGAGGCCACTGACTGCTTCTCCTTACGTTGAATTCCTACGAAAATTCTATTCCTTTCAGAGTATTATTCGGATCGAGTCGAAGCGCTCCCACCGAACAGTCAAGCTGTCTATGCAGAAGAGCTCGAAGTTGGCGACTGCGTCTTCCTCCTCTACAGGGTCATTTTTTTATTCAAAAATTTGAAAAGTTCTAAGACAATGCAGCCACCAATTACACCCGAAATCCCTGAGATAAGGTGGGCGTGGCTGCGCATACAAGAACCCGGTTGTGGTTGTGGCAGTGGTTGTGCTTTTGGAGAGATATCTTCATTTTGACACAAGTGTGGTCATGTCACACACAGAACAAGATGGCAATTGCTCGAACTGAAATACCCCAGAGTAACCCATTCTGTGCCGAACATGTTCAGATGCCACGCCTACTCTTCCTCACGGATAAGGAGTGTATTCGTGTTCGGACGGGTCCAATATGTAATCCATGTGAGCCCTACTATCCGGGTTTGAGCAAAGGAATCATTTTGTGTAATCCCAATGGTATACTGCTTGTTGTCATATTCTCATGTTCGCAGACGGAATGAAATACGCCCTCGTTCTATGGGCTTTTGGTAAAGAATATGTTATGATCAACATCTAGATAGGAGGGCATTGTGTCCATTGCGACTCAACGTGTGTTCTGCCTCCCAAGTTCTTGAAAGTTTACACGTTTTGCTGGCTATATTTCGTACTATTCTGCACTTTTGATGTTATTTGTAACTACTCGAGGACAACACCCCTCTACTACCCCATTGAGTCAGCCGAACACCCAACTTTCACTGCGAGTTGTTAGAGCGGTTGAGGGCGGGCTCGACTTAGGTAATAGATTACAGATGATGGTCAAATGTAAGGTGTGTGATTCTCATACCCGACATTTAGTAACATTTGCACGGTGTTGAAAGTAAAACCTAAGTAGCAGTTAATTAATCGTTAACGCAGTCAATGCTCCGTTGCCCTGATCGCAAATGAGGTGTGAGCTTGTCCACACAACGTGATCTACTGTCCGATGACAGCGGCCTTAGAGACAGTTCCAGCGATCATGTGGTCCGCGAAATACTCCGTGCATTTGGCATCGTTGTCCGCATTCGCAGAGAATATACCACTTTCGTCACTCGAAACGGCGAGATAAAGAAGCTAGAGACGCGTGATTATTGCAACCATTGCAACCACGATTACTTTCACTCTGCAAGACAACGGCTTACAAGCGGAATTGCGTGTGTACATAGCGTTGCCTGGAGCGTCGTAGGTGATTTCCTGTGCTCTTGCCGGGAATTGGTTGCACGTCGAATCCTGCTGACTGGGCTTGCCGACGTCCGACAAAGCTCGTCCAAGGCGCCTACTGCTAAGGGGGTCTCTTAAAGAGTGTTTCATATTTTTTTCGCTCCTTTCTCTACTGGGGAGCTACTTATGGGCTACTGGTCTATGATTGGGTACCTTTTTTCCCGTGACATTTGATCGCGGTAATTGTCTTCAAAGCACATTTCGCGGTTACTCGTGAAGAATCCTGAACATTGCAGAATCTATAAGAAGGATAGGAACGCACATCAAAACTGCAGCCACTTAAGCGCATAAGCGCCCACTTTTCCTCCTAAGTGGAGCGCTACATATTCCATCAAGGCTTAGTTCGCGAGTAGCTATAAGTATCAAAGCCTATGTTGGTAGTATGAGACGTAACCGATAATGTTGTACCAGTTTCTTAGATAGGCACAGGGGGGGGGGTGGGTGCACAAGGTTGCTCACATGATTCCACCCAAGGGTGTCTGTGGCCGGCTTTTTTGCTGTCTTGCCTCTCCAGACTGATTTCGTAATCGAAGTCCCAACAGTTTCTTCGCCCTTAGAGTTAACAAGTATGGCTTCATTCAGGCGCACTTGCCGGTTTGCTCTTCTTTTCTCCTCTGGTAACGCCAACTAGCACATACACTTTTTTAATCCTCCCAGAAAGTGGCAAGGTAGCGGGTAAGGCGCAAGGTTGCTCCAGTGACTCCGCCCAGGTTGATAGATGTCTTACTTACGCTCTCCTTCGTTTGCATGCTCTCTCGCTGTTTTCTCTGGCCTCTCTCCCGATATCCACATCGAGTGTTTGTCTTCCGCGTATAGCTCTTATTTGAAGCCTTCTCGACGGTTTCCTTCTCTTTTTTCTTCACGAGCGAGTTAATTAGTACATACAATTCTGTTTCTCAACCGCGCTACTTACGATTTTTTTGCTGGCCCCTCGCAAAGTCGGCCTTTAATGGTGATCATGTTGGCTGGGGCAGAGGGTCATTCCACTTCAATAGTGGGCCCTTCATTTTTATCGCTCCAAAATGAAGGAGGTGGGGTTCACCAGTGAGAAAGGCACGATAATTCTCCGCCTCTCTGGTTCGGAAGATATATAGCGCTACGTCAGCGAAACGCTGGACACCTTGCGTTCTTCCGAGTTGGTGTAGGATTCTATGTAATCCACTGACTTTTCCTTTCCTGACCCCTGCAAGCCATTGTAGACTCCAATCGCGTTGCGCTCTTATCCCACATGCGGTCTAGGGTAAAATCGGTGATCAGGGTCCAGCATCGTTGTG